TTAGACCTGATAACTGACAGTGTCTGACTATATGTTAGACCTGATAACTGACAGTGTCTGACTATATGTTAGACCTGATAACTGACAGTGTCTGACTATATGTTAGACCTGATAACTGACAGTGTCTGACTATATGTTAGACCTGATAACTGACAGTGTCTGACTATATGTTAGACCTGATAACTGACAGTGTCTGACTATATGTTAGACCTGATAACTGACAGTGTCTGACTATATGTTAGACCTGATAACTGACAGTGTCTGACTATATGTTAGACCTGATAACTGACAGTGTCTGACTATATGTTAGACCTGATAACTGACAGTGTCTGACTATATGTTAGACCTGATAACTTATAGTGTCTGATTATATGTTAGACCTGTTAACTGAGAGTGTCTGACTATATGTAAAACCTGATAACTGACAGTGTCTGACTATATGTTAGACCTGATAACTGAGAGTGTCTGACTATATGTTAGACCTGATAACTGATAGTGTCTGACTATATGTTAGACCTGATAACAGACAGTGTCTGCCTATAAGTAAGACCTGATAACTGATAGTGTCTGATTATATGTTAGACCTGATAATTGACAGTGGGTGACTATATGTTAGACCTGATAACTGATAGTGTCTGACTATATGTTAAACTTGATAACTGACAGTGTCTGACTATTTGTTAGACCTGATAACTGACAGTGTCTGACTATATTTTAGACTTGAAAACTGATAGTGCATGACTATATTTTAGACCTGATAACTGATAGTGTCTGACTATATGTAAGACCTGATAACTGACAGTGTCTGACTATATGTTAGAACTGATAACTGATAATGTCTGACTATATGTTAGACCTGATAGTGTCTGACTATATGTTAGACCTGATAACTGACAGTGTCTGACTATATATTAAACCTGACAGTGTCTGACTATATGTTAGACCTGATAATTGACAGTGTCTGACTATATGTTAGACCTGATAATTGACAGTGTCTGACTAAATGTTAGACCTGATAACTGATAGTGTCTGACTATATGTTAGACCTGATAACTGACAGTGTCTGACTATATGTTAGACCTGATAACTGATAGTGGCTGACTATATGTTAGACCTGATGACTGATAGTGTCTGACTATATGTAAGACCTGATAACTGACAGTGTTTGACTATATGTTAAACCTGATAACTGATAGTGTCTGACTATATGTTAGACCTGATAACTGATAGTGTCTGACTATATGTAAAACCTTATAACTGACAGTGTCTGACTATACGTAAGACCTGATAACTGACAGTGTCTGACTATATGTTAGACCTGATAATCAGTTAGACTATATGTGAAACCTAAAAACAAACAGTGTCTAATTTAATGTAAGACCTGATAAATGACGATTTCTGACTATATATCTGACTTAATAAGTTACAGTGCACATCACGTACAGTACACACGTCCGTTATATTACGTACAATACACACGTCCTTTTCATTACTTACAGTAAACGCGTCCTTTATATTACTCACAGTACACGCGTCCTTTACATTACTTACACCATACACGTCCTTTATATTACGTACAGTACACACGTATTTTACATTACTTACAGTACACGCGTCCTTTATATTACTTAAAGTACACACGTCCTTCACATTACGTACAGTACACACGTCCTTTACATTACTTACACTATACACGTCCTTTATATTACGTACAGTACACACGTCCTTTACATTACTTACAGTACACGCGTCCTTTATATTACTTACACTATACACGTCCTTTATATTACGTACAGAACACAAGTCCTTTACATTACTTACAGTACACGCGTCCTTTATATTACTTACAGTACACACGTCCTTTACATTACGTACAGTACACACGTCCTTTACATTAAATACAGTCCACCCATCCTTGATATTACGTACAGTCCACCCGTCCTTGATATAACGTACAGTACACCTGTCCTTAACATTACGAACAATACACACCTCCTTTACATTACGTACAGTCCACCCGTCCTTTACATTAAATACAGTCCACCCGTCCTTGATATTACGTACAGTACACCTGTCCTTTACATTACGTACAGTCCACACGTCCTTTATATTATGTACAGTCCACACGTCCTTTACATTAGGTACAGTACACACGTCCTTTATATTATGTACAGTCCACACGTCATTTACATTACGTACAGTACACACGTCCTTTATATTATGTACAGTCCACACGTTCTTTATATTACGTACAGTACACATGTTCTTTATATTACTTACAGTACACACGTCCTTTACATTACGTAAAGTACACACGTCCTTTATTTTACGTACAGTACACACGTCCTTTATATTACGTACAATACACACCTTCTTTATATTACGTACAGTACACACGTCCTTTACATTAAATACAGTCCACGCGACCTTTATATTACTTACAGTACACACGGCCTTTATATTACTTACAGTACACACGTCCTTTATATTACGTACAGTACACACGTCCTTTACATTAAGTACAGTCCACGCGTCCTTCATATTACGTACAGTACACACGTCCTTTACATTAAATACAGTCCACCCGTCCTTGATATTACGTACAGAACACACGTCCTTTATATTACTTACAGTACACACGTCCCTTATATTACGTACAGTACACACGTCCTTTATATTACGTACAGTACACACGTCCTTTATGTAACGTACAGTACACACGTCCTTTATATTATGTACAGTACACACCTCCTTTACATTACGAACAGTACACACGTCCTTTATATTACGTACATAATACACGTCCTTTACATAACTTACAGTACACGCGTCCTTTACATTACGTACGGTACAGACGTCCTTTATATTACTCACAGTACACGCGTCCTTTATATTACGTACGGTACAGACGTCCTTTATATTACTCACAGTACACGCGTCCTTTATATTACGTACGGTATAGACGTCCTTTATATTACTTACAGTACACATGTCCTTTATATTACGTACAGTACACGCGACCTTTATATTACATACAGTACACACGACCTTTACATTACGTACAGTACACACGTCCTTTATATTACTTACAGTACACGCTTCCATTACATTACGTACAGTACACACGTCCTTTATATTACGTACAGTACACGCGACCTTTATATTACATACAGTACACACGACCTTTACATTACGTACAGTACACACGTCCTTTATATTACGTGCAGTACACGCGTTCTTTATATTACATACAATACACACGTCCTTTATATTACGTACAGTACACACGACCTTTACATTACGTACAGTACACACGTCCTTTACATTACTTACAGTACACACGTCATTTATATTATGTACAGTCCACACGTCCTTTATATTACATACAGGACACACGTCCATAATATCACGTCCAATAAATACGTCCTTTATATTATGTACATTACACACGTCCTTTACATTACTTACTGTACACTCCTCCTTTATATTATGTTTAGTCCACACGTCCTTTACAATACGTACAGTACACACGTCCTTTATTTTACGTACAGTACGCACGTCCTTTATATTACATACAGTACACGCGAACTTTATATTACATACAGTACACACGTCCTTTACATTGCGTACAGTACACGCGAACTTTATATTACATACAGTACATGCGTCCTTTATATTACATACAATACACACGTCCTTTATATTACATACAGTACACGCGACCTTTATATTACGTACAGTACACACGTCCTTTACATTACGTACAGTACACACGTCATTTATATTATGTACAGTACACACGTCCTTTATATTACGTGCAGTACACGCGTCCTTGATATTACATACAATACACACGTCCTTTATATTACATACAGTACACACGTCCTTTATATTACGTACAGTACACACGTCCTTTACATTACGTACAGTACACACGTCATTTATATTATGTACAGTCCACACGTCCTTTATATTACGTACAGTACACGCGTCCTTTATATTCCATACAATACACACGTCCTTTATATTACGTACAGTACACACGTCCTTTACATTACTTACAATACACACGTCATTTATATTATGTACAGTCCACACGTCCTTTATATTACATACAGTACACACGTCCATGATATCACGTACAATACATACGTCCTTTATATTATGTACATTACACACGTCCTTTATATTACGTACAGTACACACGTCCTTTATATTATGTACAGTCCACACGTCCTTTACATTACCTATAGCACACGCGTCCTTTATTTTACTTACAGTACACACGTCCTTTACATTACTTACAGTACACACGTCCTTTATATTAATTACAGTACACGCGTCCTTTATATTACTTACAGTACACACGTCCTTAACATTACGTACAGTACACGTGTCCGTTACATTACGTACAGTACACATGTCCTTTACATTACTTACAGTACACATGTCTTTTACATTACGCACGGTACACACGTTCTTTTGAATAGTTATGGTTTTTATTTGTAACAAAATGTAGTGAAGATCACTTTAATCAAGCGCTGTTTTTTTCAGTGTAAAACAGACGGTTGCATACCTTCGCATATCTTTTAATGTTTTACTATTAATCAGGAACTTTTTCATGACATATCTCTGTACTCAAAACTCATCATCTTGGATGTTTATAAAATTCGTAATAACTTCGATAAATGGCAACATTGAAAGCACCTACAGTACACACGTCCTATATGAGAGTAATAAAATAACGCAAATTATTCTCGTTTTATAATGTTGTTTTTAAATTAATACATCTAAATCCTATATTAAAATTTTGATGGATTTTCAAAATAATACTACCTCACTACAACAGAAGAAAATATCATATCCATGAAATGATGGTTATTTGAAACAACCCGAGAGAAAATATCCGCATTTTTTCTTATTTAACATTATCCATCATATGATTGGAGAAACTACTGATGGATAGTGATTAACATTAATGAGAAACGGTTTATCGTACTTGTTGTGTGATATTATCTACTTGTGTCCCATTTTAAATGTAACTGTACACTGGCCGCTGGTCTTTTGCTCATTTTCATGAACGTCATCACATTTATTTCCGGTGCCACTTTCGAAACCCATCGGAACTCCCTCGGCACTATTCGTTGATTCCTCGGGTGTTTTCGACATCTCGTGGTCGTGGTCGTGATCGTGATGATGACGGTGTTTATGGTGAAATGGCTGTAACGAGAAACGCCTATGTGTTTGCTTTCTCCCACCCCTACGTTTAGAAATATGTCGATTCTCTTTTCTCATTGTCCGAGTCTTATATATTTGTAGCTGTGTGTATAGACGCTTCAATTCAGCCTGCAATAAATAAAAGACATCTCTGTATATACATACCTCCAAAAGCTACATAACATACACCAACAACACTCTATCTACGGTTAGTGTTCCACAAAAAAACTAATCCGTAAAATTGTTTTTTACTTGTGAAATACTAGAAATGATATATGTGATAATGAATTCTGTCAAATTGATAAAACTGATTTCTTCGAACTGTGACAGATATCAAAATCGATGTTTACACTGTGTGAAAATATCACTTTTGGTATTAACCAATCATAATAGGTTATTCAACACTGTAGATTTTTTGTTCAAATACGGACGAAGCGACGGTAGAATAAGTGGTTATTTTTGGACCATCTTTGCTACATACACTAAGGAATTAATTGGCTTACATAATTGATGCCATTTATTAAAGCAAATCTTACCAAATAATAGAGAAAACGGCAGAATTGTGTTAAATAACTAATTCAAATTTGCGCGAAGTCTTGTTGTCAATTGTAACGTCATTAGAAAACGGCCAATTAAATACCATTTTGAACGAATTTGCATTGCTCCTGAAAAGGGAAGGAAACTCCTATTTACACACTTTATTTTCACATCTCCTTGATGTATAGGTAATCCCAACAGAACATTTTTTTTATTTAGTTAAAACTATTATTATAATTTATCATTATTATTGTCTTCATTCAAGGTCACAAGAATCAAATGTACTAAAATAAAAACTTTGGAAAGTCAGACAATGATATTTTTGCCTTGCTTTATTTGTTTATAGTTAAAAATTAAAAAAAAATGATGTAATTTTCCTCATATTTTGTTTAATGAATGTGCAAAAGACAAAATAAAATCATTATTAAGTGTATATTAGTTTTTATATTAAGATTATTTTTTTTTTTTTTTTTTTTTTTTTTTTTTTTTTTTTTTTNTTTTTTTTTATATCTATATATCTTTGATTATAACACAATCTCAACCAGAAGTAGTTCTCCTGAGGAGAGATTACTTTTGCAGAATACATATTTTTGAGATAATACTGCTGCACATAACTTAAAAAACCATGCGTAATATAACAAAGTGTTTTGGTTTGATACAAAAACAGAAAAATCAAATCTTCATGATTATGTGATATTGTGCATTGGTCATGTTTGGAATGGTACCAAAGTACTTTACCGGTTTTAATATTACATAAAAATGATCCTGTAGACAGAATACATAAATAGAAAGTTTTTAAAGAAGTTTAAAATATAGACTACCATTGTTACTATATATAGGCAAGTTGACAATGTTGAATATTTTGAATTTTGTGAACCTTTTGCATATTTTTCTAGTTAAAAGTATCACAGTGACTATGTTTACTTCGTGTATATCAACATAACACATTCAGTATCAAAATAACAGTAATTGTATTCACTATACACTATGATAATTGATTTTCAAAATAAGATTCGCCTGTGACATTTCTTTGTCATTTTTTAGGAAACCCCCGTCACTCAACCTGCAGCAATGAGGTCCACAACGATTATCAGTAGTAATAATGAATAATCATGTATGCACCTGTTGTTGATATTTATGTAAATACAAATGCCGAAACAATAAAAAAAAATTGAAGTAGTAATTGAATGTTGACCCCCACCGACACCATTCGTTGGAATGAAACGAGAATACATCACCATACATGTACGTTGCAGAACTGGACATGAGTTGAAGCATTTTAAACGGTTTGCTGTTCTAAAAAAACTGCATTTCTTCAACGCCCCGGGATCAATTCTAATATCGTGACTGCATTTGTCTCTTTTTGCCCAGCATTTGTATATATAGTTTTGGGGTGGGGATCGCAACCGTTTCAAAGTTATGACCCAGGGGTTAGGTCTGCAAGGGTGGGTCAGCCCAACCATTTGTACAATTTTGAATCTCCACCATCTAGGGATGCTTCCAGTCAAATATGGTTGATATCCACTTATTAGTTCCAGAGAAGAAGTCGCTTAAAGCAATATTGCCAAATTGACCCCTTTTGGCCCCGCCCCTCAGTCCCCTGGAGGGTCAGCCCCACCATTTGTACAAATTTGAATCCCCACCACCTAGGGATGCTTCCACTCAAATATGGTTGATATCCACTTATTAGTTCCAGAGAGGAGGTCGCTTAAAGCAATATAGCCAAATTGACCCCTTTTGGCCCCGCCCCTCAGTCCCATGGGGAGTCAGCCCCACCATTTGTACAATTTTGAATCCCCACCACCTAGGGATGCTTCCAGTCAAATTTAAGAAGAAGTCATTTAAAGAAATTGTTGACGTACGGACGGGCCCTATGGAGGATGAAAGCAGCTTGTTTTTAGTCGGTCGTTAGCTTTAATTTTTTGATACTTACCTACTTCACATGAACATTTAATCCTTTTATATTATATATACACTCTTCCCATATACATTCTTCTAAAACACACTAGATATTACATATATGTTTATACACTTTTCACAAACACACTAGATATTACATATATATATATACAAATGTACACTCTTCCCAAACACACTAGATATTACATATATATATATATCAACCCGAGAAAGGCCTAGAGACACTATCTCTGTCTTTTGTTTTATTTATATATATATATATATATATGTCATATGATACTATGCATCATAGAATCCGCCTGAAGAAGCCCTAGAAGGCAGAAAGGCCTAGCGGACGATCTGAAAAATTTGTTTTTATTCTATATTTTCCTTCGCAAGGACTTATTTATTTATTATCTACTATATATATATATATATAAAGAAAACATTGAGAAGTCCTTATGATAGACACTCTTTCCAAACAGACTCGATATTGCATGCACGTATATATACAAAGTATCCCTAAATGCTATCTAAAACATACACGTATATCCTCAGGATCCATGTCCGCCAAGCTGATTTCCCCGACGTCTACGTCTCCGTTGGAGGAGACGCCGATGTTAAGTTTCATGGACTCCGGCCCCATACTGTCCGGTCCGTCTGATGAGGAATACGCCCTATTACGTAAATGATGGTTCTCGGGCGGCCGGTGCGCATACAGAAGCTAAAACAAAGAAAACTGCATCAAACAGGCATCTGTAGCAATTCCTGTCCCGAAAGTTCTGTTTTAATCTCCTCCTAACTAACATGAAATTAGTATGCAATTACTATCGGAAACAATCATATAACCACCTATAGCTATTGTTTTTTTTTCCTGAATTTGATATTGTTATATTTGAAATATCCATCCGATTTATACAGAAGTTTTTGTTATTTTATCTTGTTTTGTTAATCGTATTCCAATACTAATAATAATTGGAGGTTCCTATATACCGCTTTATCACAACCTAGTTCTTAGGTCGTCTCAAAGCGGTTCACAAAGTATTATCCGTGGTTATAGGGCCTTTGCAACCAGCCAATATCTTTCTCAATTCACTGGGGAGCATACAGCCGGAGCTGCCATTTCGGCGCTAACAGCTAACATTCAACAATTCTAGCGCTGCCCAACCACGTACTCATTTACAGCTGAGTAGACTAGAACAAGCGGAGTCAAGTATCTTACTCAAAGATACAACACAGTGCCGTACCGTGACTCGAACACGCAACCCTTCGGTCACGAGCCCGGCTTCCTACCTCGAGACTACCGTGTCTCCTATAAGATAGAAGTCACATAAAAAATCACACTAGTTAAATCATGACATTGTTTTTAGAGACGATCCGCTGTTTAAACTGGCTTTAGCTGCTTAAACCTGTGAACAAATATTGTTTTATCCATTTTTTTTTCTATATCTTTTATTTAATTGAAAACCCAAATTTTAGGTCGTGATATTTGGCCTGCAGGTTGTTAATGCAAAAGATTATCAATTTTGTGAATATTACTGACACTGGCTTTCATTCAAGGTTAGAACAGTTCGATGTGTTAAAGTACTGACATAAATGTGTCCTACATTAAAAGTCAAACAAGGATATCTTGTATGAATTGTTTTTTGCTTTGTTTATACATGAATATGTGAATAGATCAAAAATATTTCACTAAACTTATTTTTCCAAATGAAAGGAAAATATCAAAAAAAAATAAACAATTATTATCTAAAATATTCTCTCCATATGTACCCCTCAAGGGTACAAAATCAGATAATAACTCCAAAGGTGAAAATGTGTGCGTTAGAATAACGACTATAATCTTCGTTTTCTGAAATTTTTACATATCTGTGTTATGGCATGTTAAGAACTATTTACGCGGTTTCCGAAGTAAATGCAAATAATTCTGTTTGTAGATAATTTGACAAGTATATTAACTGTGTATAGATGAGTTGACAACTTGCAATACATAGAACTATATATATAATCATTTTTCCTTAATACCCATATGGAGTCACGAGGTATTGCAATGGAGTTAGCAAGAATTACAACGGTGTATGGTAGTGTAACAATGTGTTTAGCATATATATATAACGTTGTAAGGTAGCGTAACAATGTGTTTAGAAGATCTACAACGGTGTAAGGTAGTGTAACAATGTGTTTAGCAGATCCACAACGGTGTAAGGTAGTGTAACAATGTGTTTAGCAGATCTACAAAGGTGTAAGGTAGCGTAACAATGTGTTTAGCAGATCTACAACGGTGTTATGTAGCGTAACAATGTGTTTAGCAGATCTACAACGGTGTTATGTAGCGTAACAATGTGTTTAGCAGATCTACAATGATGTAAGGTAGTGTAACAATGTGTTTAGCAGATCTACAACGGTGTAATGTAGCGTAACAATGTGTTTAGCAGATCTACAACGGTGTAAGGTAGCGTAACAATGTGTTTAGCAGATCTACAACGGTGTAAGGTAGCGTAACAATGTGTTTAGCAGATCTACAACGGTGTAAGGTAGCGTAACAATGTGTTTAGCAGATCTACAACGGTGTAAGGTAGCGTAACAATGTGTTTAGCAGATCTACAACGGTGTAAGGTAGCGTAACAATGTGTTTAGCAGATCTACAACGGTGTAAGGTAGCGTAACAATGTGTTTAGCAGATCTACAACGGTGTAAGGTAGCGTAACAATGTGTTTAGCAGATCTACAACGGTGTAAGGTAGCGTAACAATGTGTTTAGCAGATCTACAACGGTGTAAGGTAGCGTAACAATGTGTTTAGCAGATCTACAACGGTGTAAGGTAGCGTAACAATGTGTTTAGCAGATCTACAACGGTGTAAGGTAGCGTAACAATGTGTTTAGCAGATCTACAACGGTGTAAGGTAGCGTAACAATGTGTTTAGCAGATCTACAACGGTGTAAGGTAGCGTAACAATGTGTTTAGCAGATCTACAACGGTGTAAGGTAGCGTAACAATGTGTTTAGCAGATCTACAACGGTGTAAGGTAGCGTAACAATGTGTTTAGCAGATCTACAACGGTGTAAGGTAGCGTAACAATGTGTTTAGCAGATCTACAACGGTGTAAGGTAGCGTAACAATGTGTTTAGCAGATCTACAACGGTGTAAGGTAGCGTAACAATGTGTTTAGCAGATCTACAACGGTGTAAGGTAGCGTAACAATGTGTTTAGCAGATCTACAACGGTGTAAGGTAGCGTAACAATGTGTTTAGCAGATCTACAACGGTGTAAGGTAGCGTAACAATGTGTTTAGCAGATCTACAACGGTGTAAGGTAGCGTAACAATGTGTTTAGCAGATCTACAACGGTGTAAGGTAGCGTAACAATGTGTTTAGCAGATCTACAACGGTGTAAGGTAGCGTAACAATGTGTTTAGCAGATCTACAACGGTGTAAGGTAGCGTAACAATGTGTTTAGCAGATCTACAACGGTGTAAGGTAGCGTAACAATGTGTTTAGCAGATCTACAACGGTGTAAGGTAGCGTAACAATGTGTTTAGCAGATCTACAACGGTGTAAGGTAGCGTAACAATGTGTTTAGCAGATCTACAACGGTGTAAGGTAGCGTAACAATGTGTTTAGCAGATCTACAACGGTGTAAGGTAGCGTAACAATGTGTTTAGCAGATCTACAACGGTGTAAGGTAGCGTAACAATGTGTTTAGCAGATCTACAACGGTGTAAGGTAGCGTAACAATGTGTTTAGCAGATCTACAACGGTGTAAGGTAGCGTAACAATGTGTTTAGCAGATCTACAACGGTGTAAGGTAGCGTAACAATGTGTTTAGCAGATCTACAACGGTGTAAGGTAGCGTAACAATGTGTTTAGCAGATCTACAACGGTGTAAGGTAGCGTAACAATGTGTTTAGCAGATCTACAACGGTGTAAGGTAGCGTAACAATGTGTTTAGCAGATCTACAACGGTGTAAGGTAGCGTAACAATGTGTTTAGCAGATCTACAACGGTGTAAGGTAGCGTAACAATGTGTTTAGCAGATCTACAACGGTGTAAGGTAGCGTAACAATGTGTTTAGCAGATCTACAACGGTGTAAGGTAGCGTAACAATGTGTTTAGCAGATCTACAACGGTGTAAGGTAGCGTAACAATGTGTTTAGCAGATCTACAACGGTGTAAGGTAGCGTAACAATGTGTTTAGCAGATCTACAACGGTGTAAGGTAGCGTAACAATGTGTTTAGCAGATCTACAACGGTGTAAGGTAGCGTAACAATGTGTTTAGCAGATCTACAACGGTGTAAGGTAGCGTAACAATGTGTTTAGCAGATCTACAACGGTGTAAGGTAGCGTAACAATGTGTTTAGCAGATCTACAACGGTGTAAGGTAGCGTACCAATGTGTTTAGCAGATCTACAACGGTGCAAGGTAACGTAACAATGTGTTTAGCAGATCTACACCGGTGTAAGGTAGTGTACCAATGTGATAAGCAGATCTACAACGGTCTAAGGTAGTGTAACAATGTGTTTAGCAGATCTACAACGGTGTAAGGTGGTGTACCAATGTGTTAAGCAGATCTTCAACGGTGTAATGTAGCGTAACAATGTGTTTAGCAGATCTACAACGGTGTAAGGTAGCGTAACAATGTGTTTAGCAGAACTACAACGGTGCAAGGTAGCGTAACAATGTGTTTAGCAGATCTACAACGGTGTAAGGTAGCGTAACAATGTGTTTAGCAGATCTACAACGGGGGAAGGTAGTGTAACAATGTGTTTAGCAGATCTACAACGGCGTAAGGTGGTGTACCAATGTGTTAAGCAGATCTTCAACGGTGTAATGTAGTGAACAATGTGTTTAGCAGATCTACAACGGTGTAAGGTAGTGTAACAATGTGTTTAGCAGATATACAACGGTGTAAGGTAGCGTAACAATGTGTTTAGCAGATCTACAACGGTGTAATTTAGTGTAACAATGTGTTTATCAGATCTACAACGGTTTTAGGTAGTACGGTGTAAGGTAGTGTAACAATGTGTTTAGCAGATATACAACGGTGTAAGGTAGCGTAACAATGTGTTTAGCAGATCTACAACGGTGTAACGTAGCGTAACACTGTGTTTAGCAGATCTATAACGGTGTAAGGTAGTGTACCAATGTGTTTAGCAGATCTACAACGGTCTAAGGTAGCGTAATAATGTGTTTAGCAGATCTACAACGGTGTAATTTAGTGTAACAATGTGTTTATCAGATCTACAACGGTTTTAGGTAGTTAACAATGTGTTTAGCAGATCTACAACGATGTAATGGTGTTTAGCAGATATACAACCGTGTAAGGTAGCGTAACAATAGGTTAAGCAGATCTACAACGGTCTAAGGTAGCGTAATAATGTGTTTAGCCCATCTACAACGGTGTAATTTAGTGTAACAATGTGTTTAGCAGATATGTAGTGAACAATGTGTTTAGCAGATACAAACGGTAAGGTAGCGTAACAATGTGTACAATGGTGTAAGGTAGCGTAAAAATGTGTTTAGCAGATCTACAACGATGTAAGGTAGTGTAACAATGTGTTTATCAGATCTACAACGGTTTAAGGTAGTTAACAATGTGTTTAGCAGATCTTCAACGATGTAATGTAGCGTAACAATGTGTTAAGCAGATCTACAATGGGGTAAGGTAGTGTAATAAAGCGTACCAATGTGTTTAGCAGTAAGGTAGTGTAACAATGGGTTTAGCAGATCTACGACGGTGTAAGGTAGCGCAACAATGTGTTTAGCCGATCTTCAACGATGTCATGTAGCGTAACAATTTGTTAAGCAGATCTATAACGGTGTAAGGTAGAGTAACAATGTGTTTAACAGATCTACAACGGTATAATGTAGTGTACCAATGTTTTTAGCAGATCTACAGCGGTGTAATGTAGTGAACAATGTGTTTAGCGGATCTACAACGGTGTTATGTAGCGTAACAATTTGTTAAGCAGATCTACAACGGCGTAAGGTAGCGTAACGATGTGTTTAGCAGATGTACAACGGTGTAAGGTAGGGTAACAATGTGTTTAGAAGATCTACAACGGTGGAATGTAGCGTAACACTGTGTTTAGCAGATATACAACCGTGTAAGGTAGCGGAACAATGTGTTTAGCGGATCTACAACGGTGTTATGTAGCGTAACAATTTGTTAAGCAGATCTACAAAGATGTAAGGTAGTGTATCAATGTGTTTAGCAGAACTACAACGATGTAAGATAGTGTAACAGTGTGTTTAGCAGATCAACAACGGTGTAATGTAGTGTAACACTGTGATAAGCAGATCTACAAAGATGTAAGGTAGTGTAGCAATGTGTTAAGCAGATCTATAACGGTGTAAGGTAGAGTAACAATGTGTTTATGAGATCTACAACGGTTTAATGTAGTTAACAATGTGTTTAGCGGATCTACAACGGTGTAACGTAGCGTAACAATGTGTACAATGGTGTAAGGGAGCGTAACAATATGTTCAGCAGATCTACAAAGATGTAAGGTAGTGTAGCAATGTGTTTAGCAGCTCTACAACGGTGTAATGCAGTGTACCAATGTGATAAGCAGATCTAAAACGATGTAAGGTAGCGTAAAAATGTGTTTATCAGATCTACAACGGTTTAAGGTAGCGTAACAAGGTGTTTAGCAGATCTAAAACGGTCTAAGGTAGTGTAACAATGGGTTTAGCAGATCTACAGTAGTGTAACAATGTTGTTAGCAGATCTACAAGGTAGCGTAACACTGTGTTTAGCAGATCTTCAACGATGTTAAGCAGATCTATAACGGTGTAAGGTAGGGTAACAATGTGTTTATGAGATCTACAACGGTTTTAGGTAGTTAACAATGTGGTTAGCAGATCTACAATGGGGTAAGGTAGTGTACCAATGTTTTTAGCAGATCTACAGTAGTGTAACAATGTGTTTAGCAGATCTACAACGGTGTAATGTAGTGTACCAATGTGATTAGCAGATCTACAACGGTGTAAGGTAGTGTAATAATGTGTTTAGCAGATCTACAATGGTGTAAGGTAGCGTAACAATATGTTAAGCAGATCTACAAAGGTGTAAGGTAGTGTAAAAATGTGTTTAGCAGATACAAACGGTGTAAGGTAGCGTAACAATGTGTTTAGCAGATCTACAACGGTGTAAGGTAGCGTACCAATATGTTTAGCAGATCTACAACGGTGCAAGGTAGCGTAACAATGTGTTTAGCAGATCTACACCGGTGTAAGGTAATGTAACAATGTGTTTAGCAGATCTACAACGGTCTTAGGTAGTGTAACAATGTTTTTAGCAGATCTACAACGGTGTAATGTAGCGTAACAATGTGTTTAGCAGGTAGTGTACCAATGTGTTTAGCAGATCTACAACGGTCTTAGGTAGTGTAACAATGTTTTTAGCAGATCTACAACGGTGCAATGTAGCGTAGCAATGTGTTTAGCAGATCTGCAACGGTGTAAGGTATTGTAACAATGTGTTTAGCAGATCTTCAACGGTCTTAGGTAGTGTAACAATGTTTTTAGCAGATCTACAACGGTGTAATGTAGTATAACAATGTGTTTAGCAGATCTACAACTGTGTAAGGTAATGTGACAGTATGTTTAGCAGATCTACAACGATGTAAGATAGTGTAACAGTGTGTTTAGCAGATCTACAACGGTGTTATGTAGTGTAGCAATATGAATAGCAGATCTCCAATATGTTTAGCAGATCTACAACGGGGCAAGGTAGCGTAACAATGTGTTTAGCAGATCTAGAACGATGTAAGGTAGTGTAGCAATGTGTTTAGCAGATCTACAACGGTCTTAGGTAGTGTAACAATGTTTTCAGCAGATCTACAACGGTGTAATGTAGCGTAACAATGTGTTGAGCAGATCTACACCGGTGTAAGATAGTGTAACAAAGGTAAGATAGTGTAACAGTGTGTTTAGCAGATCTACAATGGTGTTATGTAGTGTAGCAATATGAATAGCAGATCTACAATGGTGTAAAGTAGTGTAACAATGTGTTTAGCAGATCCACAACGGTGTAAGGTAGCGTAACAATGTGTTTAGCGGATCTACAACTGTGTAAGGTAATGTAACAGTATGTTTAGCAGATCTACAACGAGGTAAAGTAGTGTAATAATGTGTTTAGCAGATCTACAACGGTGTAAGGAATTTTAACAATGTGTTTAGCAGATCTACAACGATATAAGGTAGCGTAATAATGTGTTTGGCACATCTACGACAATGTAAGGTAGTGTAACAATGTGTTTAGCAGATCCACAACGGTGTAAGGTAGCGTAACAATGTGTTTAGCAGATCTAGAACGATGTAAGGTAGTGTAGCAATGTGTTTAGCAGATCTACAACGGTGTAAGGGAGCGTAACAATGTGTTTAGCAGATCTAGAACGATGTAAGGTAGTGTAGCAATGTGTTTAGCAGATCTACAACGGTCTTAGGTAGTGTAACAATGTTTTCAGCAGATCTACAACGGTGTAATGTAGCGTAACAATGTGTTTAGCAGATCTCCAACGGTGTAAGGTAGCGTACCAATATGTTTAGAAGATCTACAACGGTGCAAGGTAGCGTAACAATGTGTTTACCAGATCTACAACGGTGTAAGGTAGTGTAATAATGTGTTTAGCAGATCTACAACGGTGCAATGTAGCGTAGCAATGTGTTTAGCAGATCTGCAACGGTGTAAGGTATTGTAACAATGTGTTTAGCAGATCTACAACTGTGTAAGGTAATGTGACAGTATGTTTAGCAGATCTACAACGATGTAAGGTAGTGTAACAATGTGTTTAGCAGATATAACGGTGTAAGGTAGTGTAACAATGTGTTTATCAGATCTCCAACGGTTTGAGGTAGTTAACAATGTGTTTAGCAGATCTACAACTGTGTAAGGTAATGTAACAGTATGTTTAGCAGATCTACAACGGTGTTATGTAGTGTAGCAATATGAATAGCAGATCTACAATGGTGTAAAGTAGTGTAACAATGTGTTTAGCAGATCTACAACGATGTAAGGTAGTGTAACAATGTGTTTAGCAGATCTTCAACGGTCTTAGGTAGTGTAACAATGTTTTTAGCAGATCTACAACGGTGTAATGTAGCGAAACAATGTGTTTAGCAGATCTAAAACGGTGTAAGGTAAAGTAACAATATGTTTTGCAATTCTACAACGTTGTAATGCAGCGTAACAATGTGTTTAGCAGATATACAACGGTGTAAGGTAGTCTAACAATGTGTTTAGCAGATCTACAACGGTGTAAGGTAGTGTAACAATGTGTTTAGCAGATCCACAACGGTGTAAGGTAGCGTAACAATGTGTTTAGCAGATCTACAATGGTGTAAGGTAGAGTAATAATGTGTTGAGCTGATCTACAAAGGTGTAAGGTAGTGGAACAATGAGTTTAGCAGATCTACAAAGATGTAAGGTAGTGTAACAATGTGTTTAGCAGATCTACAACGGTGTAGTGTAGCGTAACAATGTGTTTAGCAGATCTACAACGGTGTAGTGTAGCGTAACAATGTGTTTAGCAGATCTACAACGGTGTAATTTAGCGTAACAATGTGTTTAGCAGATCTACAACGATGTAAGGTAGTGTAACAATGTGTTTAGCAGATCTACAACGGTGTAAGGTAGTGTAACAATGTGTTTAGCAGATATAACGGTGTAAGGTAGTGTAACAATGTGTGTAGCAGTTCTACAACGGTGTAATGTAGCGTAACAATGTGTTTAGCAGATCTACAACGGTGTAAGGTAGAGTAATAATGTGTTTAGCAGATCTACAACAATGTAAGGTAGTGTAACACTATGTTTAGCAGATCTACAACGGTGTAAGGTAGTGTAACAATGTGTTTGGCAGTTCTACAACGGTGTAAGGTAGCGTAACAATGTGTTTAGCAGATCTACAACGGTGTAATGTAGCGTAACAATGTGTTGAGCAGATCTACACCGGTGTAAGATAGTGTAACAATGTGTTTACCATATATACAACGGTGTAAGGTAGTTAACAATGTGTTTAGCAGATCTACAACGGTGTAAGGTAGTGTAACAATGTGTTTAGCAGATCTACAACGGTGTAAGGTAGTGTAACAATGTGTTTGGCAGTTCTACAACGGTGTAAGGTAGCGTAAAAATGTGTTAAACAGATCTATTTTGGACTATTAGACTGTTAAAAAACTTGGTAGGATTGGAAAGGTTAATCGTATTGTATACAAATAGAATTTACTAATGGAAAAAAAATAACAAGTAAAATCATGATCACACACACACACACCCACACCCTCACACACACACACACACACACATTATAATAATAAAAGTAACTACCTAGGCGACACTGGTGGTTATGGAATGCATGGTATATATACTTGGATGAGATTAGACTTACCTTGGGACCGTATATGAGTAGCAATGTTACTGTGACTGTCATCTGACAGCGAACAAAATACATTAGGAACAGATAATCGGGGTGTAGATTTAACCAGTATACATGTCTGGAAAGAAAACACACAAGTATTACACCGAGAGGGCTGCTCAGGTAGGAGTGTAGTTATACAAATTAAGTACATAATGTGTTGAGAAAGGCAAAACATATTTTAGATAATAAAACAAATTTGATTGATTTATGTTTCAGATTCATGAGAAAAAATATTGCATTCAACATGTTTCATCACCTGTTGTTGGGTATAACTTTCGTTAGCATCAAATTGATATAACTTAAATAGATTTCCAACCAAGTTTAAAATATGTTCCACTGAAAGTAACCACATTATGATAACATAAGCTTTTTGTATATATAAAGCATATTAGAATTTATAGAATATGTGACCTCGGAGTAATGAATGCACAAGTTTGATCAAGTACCTTAAGACCTTTCTGTCCATGACTAACACTTATTTATAGCATATCTGGGTCTGAGAAAGAACATTTTGAAATTAAAAAATAAGCAACACTTTTCGGTCCGCCCCTCAGGCCCTAATGGAGAGGATCTTAATTTCTATGCCATTAAACTATTATCACGTGATAATTGTAAGTCTAGCTAACTTTGAATTACTTTCCGCTGAAAATAAACAAAATATACTTGAAAGTGTTATTTCCCTAAATAAACTATGGTTAAATTTTACCCTCACCTCTGGGGGAACCGTTGACCCAAACGTATTGAAATTCACTATTTTGATAAAGCTCCTAATGACCTTTCCATCCACAAACAAACGTTTATTAACTGTTTTTCGTTTTATTGAAAACATTATTTGACCTACGTTATTTACAAGATACAGAAGTAAATGAGTACCTACCTTAATACATAGAATATACAAGAAATAACAGCTTCGTAACAGATGGCTGCTGAGATGTAAGTTCCCTCTGAATAATCGGACGGCGCAGCTCTCACTTTGTAACATATGTATATCCCAAAACACAGGAACGTTAACTCAGCTGAAACAACGTACAGTATCTTTGAATATTGTACACATCTTTCCCTAACTTACGATCATATTACTAAATATTACAGTAAAATATATAATCTTCTTCTTATAAAACAGTACATAGTACATTCTCCTAATTATATAACAGTATACAATAGGCCCAATGGGCCTGCATCACTCACCTGGTATTGATCTCACAATTGTAACCTTATACGTGAATAAAAATACAGCTACAGGTAAACTATCAGTGTCTTGACTCGAAGTAATTCAAAAGAACCTGTTAAAAGATTTAAACACATTTGACCCCCGTAACCTTGAAAGTCAAGCAAGGACATTTAGTTGAACATTTTTTATAGCCCTTCATCGTCGTTTTAAAGTTTTTGACATGTTTGACCCCTTTGACCTGTGTCATTTGAACGAACTTGGTAACCTTTCATGCATGCATGTCTGTAGCCAAATATCATCACCCTGGACCTTTTGGTTATTCAGAAAAAATGTTTAAAGATTTCAACATATTTGACTCATGTGACCTTGAATACGGGTGTAGATCATTCATTTAAACAAACTTGGTAGCCCTTCATGCCAGCATGCTAATGGCCACAATATCATCACCCTGGACATTTGGGTTATTCAGAAGAAGTCGCTAAAAAGTGTTTCAAGACAATCGACCCATGTGGCCTTGAATATGAATGAAGGTCATTTATTTGAACAACCTTGGCAGCCCTTCATCCCAGCATGCTACTGACCGAATATCACCATACTGGTCCTTTTGGTTATTGTTTAAAGGTTTTTTAAGACAATTGACCCAAGTGACCTTGAATATGAGTGAAGGTCATTCGTTTAAAATAACACGGTATCCCTCAATCCCAGTTTGCTTGTGGTCAAATATCATCATTCTAGGTCTTTTGGTTATTAAGAAAAAGTTGTTTAAAGTAAACGTTTGACGCCGACCAACGGACGACGGACGCCGCGCCACGGCATGAGCTAAATTGGCCCCTTTGGCCAGGTGAGTTAATAATACATTTTCCTACTTATCTACAGTATATAATACATTTTCCTCCATATCTACAGTATACAATACATTCTTCTATTTATACTACAGCAAATAATACATTCTCTTACTTATTTACATTAAATTATGTATTCTCCTACTTATCTACAGTATATAATATATTCTCCAAGTTATCTACAGTATAATATAAATTCTCATAGTTATCTAGAGTGTATAATACATTCTCCTCTTTATCTACAGTATAAAACTCAGTATATACTTCATTCTTCTACTTATATAATAGTATCTAATACATTCTCCCACTTATCCTCCGTATATAATACATTCTCCTACTTATCTACAGTATAAAATACATTCTCGTACTTATCTATAGTATGTAATACATTCTTGTACATATCTACAGTACATAACAATTATTCCATCTATCTACAGTATAAAACACATTCTCCTACTTATCTTCTGTATACAATTCATCTCGTACTTATCTACAGTTTATAATACATTCTACTGCTTATCTTCTATATATAATAAATTCTCCTCCTTATCTTCTGTATACAATTCATCTCGTACTTATCTACAGTATCTATTACATTCTACTACTTATCTTCTGTATATAATTCATTCTCCTACTTTTCTACAGTATATAATACATTTTCCTATTAATACAACAGTATATAATAAATTCTTCTACCTATCAATAGCATAATATACATTCTCCTACTTATCTACAATATATAATCAATTCTTCTACCTATCTACAGTATATAGTACATTCTCGTACTTATCTACAGTATATAGTACATTCTCCTACTTAGATTCAGTATGCACTACTGTACATTCATACTTATATAACAGTATATAATACATTTTACTATTTATACAGCAATATTTAATTCATTTTCCTACTTATATAATAGTATATATTACATTCCCTCCTACTGACATAATGGCATATACTTTTTGTTTTGTTTCTACTTGCATAACAGTATAGAATACATTCTTCAACTTCAATAACATTATAAAACATGTTCTCTTTCATAAATATATGTTTGGCTCTACTGGAGTTATCACCCCAAAAGCTGACCAAAATATACACCTATTTCTTAAATATACTGAAACGGAAAAAAATCCAACTACTAAACTTGTTATGCATTTTGTATTAAATGTACATACATGTAGATTTATAGCAGGCGGGAGAATCAAAGTGCACCTTGTCTATAACCATAACTAAAGTTAAAAACAACCAGATGTGACGACAAACCTATGCACATCATGTGCGGCTAAAATATCAAAATACACGTGCCTACATAAACATATGCATTTTTTTCATTCAAACAAGTATCAATTTATCACAAACAGCGAGTCACATAATCGTCAATACTTTTGCAAACATTAACTCATTTTTAGTGACTTTTAGTAGACGAGGTTTATATCTGAACGCCACATGACGATTCGATGACCGGTCGTGATCAGATTATTAGGCTGGCACACCTATGTAACATAGGTTAACGGCAGCTGAAACGGCTGGGAATACGATACAATCACCAAACAGACTGCGTTAGACTAATTTGAATGCATGCCGTATGCAATGGCTAGCGGCACATATGTTTAGACTTTTCCTTATGAGATGTTGGAGGTCCATACTTTTCACAGATAAACCTCGATTGCAGTTATATCAAACAGATGCCCCTCAACGCGTGTGCCGACGTAGAGGTGAACGTTTTGGTGACGCCTGTGTTTTTGAGAATTGGAAATTAAATGAGCTTTCTTCGGAAAGCGAAATTTGATATAGATTCCATGAACTTAACTTATACTGAGGTTCAATTGAGATGACGTCAGAGATCACGTGATTCAGTTTTTAGAGTCTGTCACACAAAAACTCATACTTCAATTCCATGAACTTAACCTACTTAGGGTCCAAATGAGATTTCAGAGATGAGATTCGTGTTACGGTAATACTCAGATACATTGTGTACAGAAATCAGAAATCAATACATAATTCAAACTGTAACTGTATGTTTTATTCTATTTACAGGTAATATATACATGTACATGGTCAGCCCATGAAGTTAACAGTCTTATGATCATGAGCTACTGGCAGCGTGCTGCAGCAAGATCCCACCGCTAACACTCAATGAAATGTCTGTTGATATGTACAGTTCTTTGTTGTAGAATTTTCGGAACACGCTGTCACTTGCCCATCCGGCTATTTCCATAATGGTTGGCATTGAAACATTGGCTGCTTTAGCAGCCGACACCGACGTGCTTCTAGTACTGTGCGGTTTGAAAAGTGTCACGTCTATACCGGACAGTATGAGTACCTTCCTAACCCAGTTATATATATTTTGTTTACAAACCGGATTGTGTGCGTCTCATATATAGTCTGCACTACACACAACCTATAGTCTTGTTCAAATGCCTTTAGTTTTATGGGACTTAAGTGCTGTCCAGGTCTCGATTGTTTGAGTAGATCTGTTACCACAAACGTCACATAATCTGAGTTCACAGTGATGTTACGTACATCAAGCATATAAAAATTTTGACATCTTTGACTTGTAAGGATTGCTAACAACATGACTAATTCTAAGCTAAGCAACCGAACGAATATGGTATTTACAGGGCTTAAGGTTTCAAGGTATTTTTACACCACCGATACATCCCATGTATTGGAATATCGCGGCAGAGCTGTACGTTTCTAATAAACACCGTTTAACAATGTTACAGTCTACAGTATTCTTGTTTCCCACTATTTCTAATGGGGAACTAATACATTGCAGTATCATTTCATTTGCATAATTATGTCCCCAAAACAAAGTTTGGGGACATCCAAGAAGTCAAAGATGGCCGCCAGAGTCTTACTTCCGATGTTGAAGACTTTGGCCACTGATTTCGGTGAGAATTAGTACATAAGGGTTTTTTGGGGATGCACAAAACAAATGGAACAGTTTCGAACAGCTCAGTTGCCATGGTAACGAAATGAAGGTCTCCGATTGGTTGAAATTTAGCTGTTGACCGATTTTGCCCAAAATTGGTACATAACGGTTTCTAGGGATGCAAAATACAATGGAAACAGTTTCGAAAAGTTCAGTTGCCATGCTTACGAAATGGTGGCCTCTGATTGGTTGCAATTTAGCTGTTGTCTGATTCTGCCCAAAATTGGTACATAAGGGTTTTTAGTGTTATTCTTCCGCCTAAGCACTTAAGTCCAACAGGGGTCGTTTGGGGGACTTTTGTAACGGCCGTCCGTTACAATTATTACTAGTTATCAGGTCCCCCAAACGAAGTGGGGGATTTATTGGTTTTCTCCGTTTCTTATTACTAAGTCCCCCAAACGAAGTGGGGGACTTATTGGTTTAACTCCGTTTCTTATAAAGTCACCCCGAACGAAGTCGGGTGACTTGTTGTTATTGTTCCGTTTCTTTCTTCTTCTTCTTATTAAGTCACCCCGAACGAAGTCGGGTGACTTGTTGTTATTGTTCCGTTTCTTACTTATTACTATTATTAAGTCACCCCGAACGAAGTCGGACGACTTGTTGTTATTGTTCCGTTTCTTACTAATTACTATTATTAAGTCACCCCGAACGAGGTCGGACGACTTGTTGTTATTGTTCCGTTTCTTACTAATTACTATTATTAAGTCACCCCGAACGAAGTCGGACGACTTGTTGTTATTGTTGCGTTTTTTACTTATTATTCTTCCGCCGTCAAAAGTTTCCGCGCTAAATATCCGAAACTACTAATTGGATTCTTATCAAACTTTGCATTTATAGTCAGAACAATTTGTAGTTTTGCATAGGACTCTTATTTTTCCGCGTCAACCCTCCAAGATGGCCGCCGCTGCTCTGTTTGGCCGAAATGATATCCAGTTATAACATTCATTCTATTTGTATATAATGAAACTTGGTGAAAGGGATGATAACGTCACACCGATCGTTACAAATATTTCATTTTGGATTCAAAATGGCGCCCAATTTCAATGAAATTTGGTATGTAGGTGT